TGTTGGTTTAGGCCATTAGGCCTAAAAAGGCCTCAAGCTTTTGGTTTCGCCCATTAGGCCTAAAAAGGCCTCAAGCCTTTTATTATATTAGGCCTAAACAGGCCTCAAGCCTTTGTATAGTAAGTCTTTGTATAGTGAAATCTTTGAATGAATAAGTCAAAATAAAAAACAAGCAGTGCAATTTTTGACATAACATGTAATTAGAAAGTTGTTCAGGTTAGTGAACTGAGTTATATGGCACCATGTGTTTATATGTCGACCTTGTAATAACATTGTAATAGCATTTTCATTGATTTTTCAGTGTTTTTGAGTGCTGAAGCGCATCCAAAGGCCAATCTGGACCAAACTTGGCATACTCCATTAGAATCTCAATTTGTATAAATACTCAAAGTTTGAACATGATCTGACCAATGACTGGTGAGTTATAGCTAACCAAGCTAACAATGCCACGTATGCAGGAATTTAGTGATTAATCCACATGACCCTGAGTAGAAAAGTCAAAATGTTTTTGATAATTATTTACATAGAGAGGCCAAAGAATTGTTCTAGACCAATTTTGAAAAGATTGGATCAAAATCCAGAGACTAGTTCAAAAAGTAGGGTTTTGAAACATTTATCTATTACAAAAAAAAGGATACAGATTTTTAATAAACATGTATAGGCAAAATTGTTTGTCTCAATGTACTACAATAGGCTGTAGGTGAAAATTGTAATAATATTGTAATAATATTGTAATAATATGTAATTTTTTGAAATAGCGCCCCCCAGTGGTCAAATCTTTTGAAACTCGACTGGTTGTTAGAAAGTGGCTACAGATAGACACCAGTCAAGTTTCGTCATGATTGGTCAATGTTAAGCCTGTCAAATGGCCTGCTGAATGCTTATTGGCCGATGGCGACCACAAATTTCGATGTATCCAAACGTCCTTAAATGCACACTTGTAGACTGGCGAGAGGATGCTGGATGCCAAGTTTCAGCTTGATCGGATGTTCAGAGGCAGAGAAAATGCCCTGTTTTTGTTGCTCCGCCCCCTAATTACTTATGCGCACAAAAATCGAATGGCTACCTCAGAATAGGCTACTGACATGGCCTGTGAAGTTTGAAATTTTTTGGCTGAAGGATTCTTGAGTTACAGATTTTTCAATTAATTCTGAATTAATTTGAATTTATCCAGAAGGGTTCATTTGCATATGACAGCCATGTTGTACGGAAAACTTGAAATGTTTTTGATAATTATTGACCAGGACACTCTTCTGAATTTTTTGACACCAAACACATGAGGATCGGGCAAAGATTGGAGGACTAGTACACAAAAGTAGGTTTCGCACATTTTGCAGTATTGCGAAAAATCTAAGTGGGCGGAGCTAAATAATCAAAATAGCCAAAAGGTTTATTTGGACCCATACAACCAGGAAAAAAATATGGCTTGTCTGGCAAAAATCTAGTTTAGGAGATATAGACCCTAACGCGTTGGCCTTCGCTGTAGCGCCCCCTTGTGGCCGACAGGGCTGGTTTCTTGCGCCTGAGTAGCGGGAGGGACTACTACCTATTGACCAAGTTTGGTGTCTCTAGGACTTACGGTTTGGGCTGTGCGTTCCGTTTCAGGGCAGAAAAATAATAATAATAATAAATATAGCCGCAAGCGGCAATGAGCGGGTTCAAGCACGCAACAGCAGTACGGGCCCTCCTGCAGGTTTAGCTCATTAGGCCTAAAAAGGCCTCAAGCTGTTGGTTTAGGCCATTAGGCCTAAAAAGGCCTCAAGCTTTTGGTTTCGCCCATTAGGCCTAAAAAGGCCTCAAGCCTTTTATTATATTAGGCCTAAACAGGCCTCAAGCCTTTGTATAGTAAGTCTTTGTATAGTGAAATCTTTGAATGAATAAGCCAAAATAAAAGACAAGCAGTGCAATTTTTGACATAACATGTAATTAGAAAGTTGTTCATCTTAGTGGACTGAGTCACATGGCACCAATTGTTTATATGTGGACCTTGTAATAACATTGTAATAGCATTTTTATTGATTTTTCAGTGTTTTTGAGTGCTGAAGCACCCCCAAAGGCCAATCTGGACCAAACTTGGCATACTCCATTAGAATCTCAATATCTACAAATCCTCAAAGTTTGAACAGGATCTGACCAATGACTGTTGAGTTATAGCTAACCAAGCTAACAATGCCACGTATGCAGGAATTTGGTGATTAATTCACATGACCCTGAGTAGAAAAGTCAAAATGTGTTTGATAATTATTTACCTTGAGATGCCACAGAATTGTTCTAGACCAACTTTGACAAGATTGGATCAAAATCCAGAGACTAGTTCGAAACGTAAGGTTTTAAGACATTTATCGATTACGAAAAAACTATACAGATTTGTAATAAACATGTATAGGCAAAATTGTTTGTCCCACTGTACTACAATAGGCTCTAGGCGAAAATTGTAATAATATTGTAATAACATGTAATAATATGTAAATTTTTGAAATTGCGCCCCCCCAGTGGTCAAATCTTTTGAAACTCGACTGGTTGTTACAAAGTGGCTACATATAGACACCAGTCAAGTTTCGTCATGATTGGTCAATGTTAAGCCTGTCAAAAGGCCTGCTGAATGCTTATTGGCCGATGGCGGCCACAAATTTCAATGTATCCAAAAGTCCTTAAATGCACACATGTAGAATGGCCAGAGGATGCTGCTTACCAAGTTTGAGCCTGATCGGATGTACGGCTGCAGAGAAAATGCCCTGTTTTTGTTGCTCCGCCCCCTAATTACGTATGCGCACAAAAATCGAATGGCTACCTCAGAATAGTCTACTGACATGGCCTGTGAAGTCTGAAATTTTTTGGCTGAAGGATTCTTGAGTTACAGATTTTTCAATTAATTCTGAATTATTTTGAATTTATCCAGAAGGGTTCATTTGCATATGGCAGCCATGTTGTATGGAAAACTTAAAATGTTTTTGATAATTATTGACCAGGACACTCTTCTGAATTTTTTGACACCAAACACATGAGGATCGGGCAAAGATTGGAGGACTAGTACACAAAAGTAGGTTTCGCACATTTTGCAGTATTGCGAAAAATCTAAGTGGGCGGAGCTAAATAATCAAAATAGCCAAAAGGTTTATTTGGACCCATACAACCAGGAAAAAAATATGGCTTGTCTGGCAAAAATCTAGTTTAGGAGATATAGACCCTAACGCGTTGGCCTTCGCTGTAGCGCCCCCTTGTGGCCGACAGGGCTGGTTTCTTGCGCCTGAGTAGCGGGAGGGACTACTACCTATTGACCAAGTTTGGTGTCTCTAGGACTTACGGTTTGGGCTGTGCGTTCCGTTTCAGGGCAGAAAAATAATAATAAGAAGAAGAAGAAAAATCTTGACAATTTCAATAGGGTTCAATGCATTGCATGCTTGAACCCTAAAAATCCGCACAATTTCAATTGGGTTCTACGCACTTCGTGCTTGAACCCTAATAATAATAATAATAATAACAAGAAAAATCCGCACAATTCCAATAGGGTTCTACGCACTTCGTGCTTGGACCCTAATAATAAGAAAAATCCGCACAATTCCAATAGGGTTCTACGCACTTCGTGCTTGAACCCTAATAATAATAATAATAAGAAAAATTCTCACAATTCCAATAGGGTTCAATGCATTGCATGCTTGAACCCTAATAATAATAAGAAAAACTCTAACAAAAACAATAGGGTCCTACGCACTGCGTGCTTGGACACTAATAATAAGAAGAAAAACTCTAACAAAAACAACAGGGTCCTACGCACCGCGTGCTTGGACCCTAATAATAATAATAAGAAAAACTCTAACAAAAACAATAGGGTCCTACGCACTTGCGTGCTTGGACCCTAAAAATCTTGACAATTCCAATAGGGTTCAATGCATTGCATGCTTGAACCCTAATAATAAGAAAAACTCTAACAAAAACAATAGGGTCCTACGCACTGCGTGCTTGGACCCTAATAAGAAAAATCCGCACAATTCCAATAGGGTTCAATGCATTGCATGCTTGAACCCTAATAAGAAAAATCCGCACAATTCCAATAGGGTTCAATGCATTGCATGCTTGAACCCTAAAAATCTTGACAATTCCAATAGGGTTCAATGCATTGCATGCTTGAACCCTAATAAAAAGAAAAACTCTAACAAAAACAATAGGGTCCTACGCACTTGCGTGCTTGGACCCTAATAATAAGAAAAACTCTAACAAAAACAATAGGGTCCTACGCACTGCGTGCTTGGACCCTAAAAATCCGCACAGTTCCAATAGGGTTCAATGCATTGCATGCTTGAACCCTAATAATAATAAGAAAAATCTGACAATTTCAATAGGGTTCTACGCACTGCGTGCTTGAACCCTAAAAATCTTGACGCACTTCGTGCTTGAACCCTAATAAGAAAAATCTTGACAATTTCAATAGGGTTCAATGCATTGCATGCTTGAACCCTAATAAGAAAATTCTTGACAATTTCAATAGGGTTCTACGCACTGCGTGCTTGAACCCTAATAAGAAAAATCTGCACAATTCCAATAGGGTTCTACGCACTTCGTTCTTGAACCGTAATAATAATTACAGCAGTAATAATAATAATAATTTACAACAGTAATAATAATAATAATAGTAATGGTCAAACGAATTTCAGTTTGTGTATCAGTATTTATTTATTTATTTATTTATTTTACTTTTCAACGTTTTTGAACAATATCGCAATAATATTGATAATCGTGATAATTCTGGTCATGATAATCGTGATATGAAATTTTAATATCGTTTCATCTCTATAACACACATGCATATATATATATATATATATATATATATATATATATATATATATATATATATACACACATATACACGTACACATACATACATATATATATACACACACACATACATACATACACACACACACATATATGAATGCAACATTTACACAAGATACCACATTCCAATATATACTCAGGAAACACATTTACAAAAAACTACAATGAGTAATCAAATAATTTTATTGAACTAAACATTAAGTGTATCATATAGTGCAACCTGTACAAATCGCAGCATCATTCATTTTGTGGATATGTTTATTTTAATAGACAATTGCAGGTTTTAGAGTTGTACTAATTAGGGAAGTTATTCCCATTTGCCCACTCTCACTAACAGACACATTTCTCTGTGGAATACTTATACATCCACTGTTTCCTTCAGCTCAGCTGAAATGGTCCTTGGTGGTATGTTGCTGCTGACAGAAAGGCACCACCATGAGTGAATTATCCTGGGGATTTTCGTTAAGGTCATCTGAGACAGTGTTTGGAGTCCTTATGCAAAACTGTTTAGCTTGCAAAAAAATAGAAAATAGCAACTTCAAACTATGTATGGCATGTTGCCTTGAGAGATACAATGACATTGCCTGTAAATATTTTGATATCAAAGTATGTACCATCTACAGGAAAACAACTGAAGCTCATTCAAAATTAATTGGATTCTCAATTTCCTTGATATATTCGAGAAAGAATTAAAGACGCCATTCCATGACAACTCACCTAGAGCATAACCATTCACATCATAAATTTCCATGAAAGAAATGAATTTCAAATTCATCCATGTAACCATGCACAAGTTCAAAACGGGGCACCAATTGTTTTTTTTAATTTAAGAATTGTTAAAGTTTGGCCTTTTAGGACCTAAATGTATTAAGTTTAAATGCTTAAAAATGAATGAGCTGAAATATTAACTGGGTATAAATACAAACAATAAAAATATAGAACCTAGTGAAGCGAAAAATTCAGCCTAATAGAGCAAAACATTAATACTAATAAAAACTAATTATAGCACTGTTTTGAAAATTTATTTGCATAAATACACTCGTGCACTTATTAATTTTTCTCTCAATAGAAACACATTGGCCTAGGTGAGGTAAATGATCCCTAGGTTAAACAGAAAAAGTAAGACAAACTAGTGTGGCATTCAGTCACTAGAAAGTACATGTAACTACACTCAGACACATAAAGCAGTGTAAAACAGTGCTTTTAAATCCTGCTCCTGAAAGCTCTCTGCCCTAAACAGTTTCAACAATTCCCTGTTTCAATATGTCTATTCTACCGAATCAACTGATTATCAAGCACTTTGTGAGCAGGAACAGGTATGTTGAAGAAGCAAAAAGTTGCAACTGTACAAGACAGGGGTCCCCTGAAGAAGGATTAACAAAGAGAGCAGTAAAACATTCTAGCATGCAGTACTGAGATTTACCTCATTTGTCTTTCCGAAAAAAGACTGGGTGGCTGGCAAACAGGTGGAGGCTCTTGCTATACAGTTTTAGGCAAAGTAATCAGGTGCTGCAAAAATAAGTACGTAGTGGAAGATGAATGAATAGCCTACTAGTGTGGGGTAGAGGATGATTATACTTTTGCAGTGTGTTCATGAATGTTATGCTTTAAAAATAAAGTAGTAAAACCTTACCTGACTATTTTTATTTCTTACATTGGTTTATACAGGATACTATACTATTTGTTGTTCCCTGATGCAGGGAGGCTTGAGGGCAGCAGTAGGCTCTTGCTGATGCAGGCTGCCATAAGGACAGGTTGAGACTCTTTCTGGGGAAGGCAAGCATAATGGCAGGAGGAGGCTCTTGCTAGTGCAACCTGGCTTAAGGAAACATGGAGGCTCTTGCAGGTAAATCTGCCATACAGTGGCAGGAAGTTAGATAATAAATATCTATTAAATCTCTTTCTTACCTTGTTTGTGCTTTATTTGTTGTTCCTGAGGGGTAACTGAAGATTTGCTGTGGCCTTTGTCAAACATAATGAGCACAGAGGTCTTTAGGAAAAAGCACCTGGCTTAAGAGCTCCTGATAGGGACAAAGTCCTTTTGCCACATGGTCAAACAGCAAATCCATGAGGTTGTCAACATAGCCTGCAGCTGTTATTAAATATGACTTAATTATTCATTTGATGATTAAAACACAAGTGTACCACTTCCTAACTGAATCTAAATGAAAGAAAATTAAGTATGAAAAGCTCTAATCACTAACAAACAAATTCATTAAGTTCTGTTAAGTTCTTTATCTCCATGGTTTAACAATTTTATAAGCAGTTTCAAATAAATAGATTGTACTTGTATACAAAGTCATCAGAGTAAAGGTCAAGCCTAGGTGTCTTTAGGGAGTTTGAGGTACTACATGTTTTCATGAGTGGATTCAAAAGAACTGACCCTACCTGCCATACTATTGTTATGTACTCCTGCCTTTGTAGCCGTACATTTCATAATGGAAATAATAATAATGCAGACTTTCATATCTACACAATGCATAATCAGAGACAAGTGAGCTCTAAATTTCTTTATCTAGCTTTAGACTTTGATAGGTTTCACATGTGCCTGCATATAGGACAAACGCAGGCCAGTTGAATCAGTCTGACATGACATCTCGTATTGTTCTTTTCTTATTATAATTAAATAAAATGGAGATAGGCACAAGTATACATCACATAACCACCAAGCTGACTCATAAAAGACCACCAAAAAATCCTAATACTTCTAACTTAAATATTTGAGTATAACTGATAACATGACGTTGCAGCGTTGATAAGCTGCTGTTTATTTCCATCTGATAAAAAATTTAGTTGGTTAATTATTTGTATATATCTAGTTTATTGTACTACATAAGAACATCTCTATTTCCGTCAAGAAATAAAAAAGCAACAAACACAATGCAACAGGCTCCCTTTTTCTCTCATCAGTCCCCTCACAAGTTTCACGCAATTGCAAGAGGTGGGACCTTTCTGGTGACGTCGCCTCATTAGGACTGTTCCATTTGTGACCAATAGGCTACTAAGGAGGAGTCTTCATAGGACAGTCCTACCAAGGACCTGCCCTATCTCGGCTGCAGCCTAGTCTTTGGAACACAGCTAACTTAACAGAACACTAAATAACATGCTAAATGCGATTAGATGATATGCACAGAAAAGGATCCAAAACGGAACAAACTCTCTCTCGCTGAAGCCTGGTAGCTATGATTTAGGAGGGCAACACAAGTTGGGCAGCATCAGTGGGCAGTAACATTGGTTGACTGATCTGCATACTGTGATGTGCCATCATACTTTGGCTATACCATACTTTATGTCGTACTATAGCAGAGTTGAACCAGAGGGGCGCTGTAGAGGCGGAACTGACCACGATAAAAATTATATTTTCACATAAGATGTGCTCAAGTTTAAAGCAAGGCTGGCATTATTTATTATTACAGGCAAATGCATTTCAGCTGTTAATAAAAGAAGGTCTTCGTGTGTAACTACTTTTAATGCAAATGATTTTGGAATGGGATGTCCAATAAGTGTCCAACAAGCTCATTTGTGAAGGTCTGGTGTGCACATAGTTTTGCCATACAATAAATAATTGTGTGGTTTCATGTCCTTCAAAAATCCAGTACTCCAATGCATTTATGACATGGTATCACATATCACAGCAATAAAGTGCCCAAATTTCACCTTTTTTTCACACAGTGCTTTTAAAACCTATTTTCTGACATATTTTATTATACATAATGCATCATAAAGTGAACATGTGAAATTGATTACAAGCAGGTGCAAACATGGATAAAGAGGAGTTGAAGCTAAAGTGGAGCTTGAGCAAAAGAGAACCACTGAGCAGCAGAGAATTTGACCAATACCTTTGCCAGTGGATGTGTGCTGCAGCTCTTTGTAGAGGTTTTTCCTGTGGTCAGCCCTGCTGTTATCCCTTCTGCTTTCCCTCCTCCACTTGCAGCCTTAGTCACCATGGGCCTGCTTGCTTTCTTCATACTGTGCTTGATGCATCTATACCTCTGTCTTCAGAGAGTGCAACAAAGAGTTTTTGGTTAGGTTCCTTCAACTGACAAGACTTTTCACAATACTAACTTCAATTCCAACCACAAGTCATATAAAACAATGAAAGCATGTGTTACACTACAGCTTTACTTTAGGTGGGCTCTGTCATATTCTACCCAGCATCTGAAATCAACAATCAAACCTTAGCTAAAGTTTGTGGTACACATTGAGCTTTTGTGGGTATCACTAAAAGGGAGCAAACTGGCCCAACACTGTCAGGATGTCACAAACTGTATGTATATTAGAGCAGGGAGGGTAAACAAATCTGGAAATTTGACAAAATCAAGATAAAATTACCAAAAAATGTATATTATTTTGTAATTTAAAACCACAGGCATTTTACAGTTTCAGCTATTCAGCTTTGAGTTGGTCACTGTTGTGTTATTATGGGCTGTGTTCTACAGTTGCCTTGACTAAAAGAAAATGATAACTTCATCACCATTTTTACACAATTCTGTCTTGTTTGAACAAGGGTTTGCTTCACACACACAAAGGAAAGAAAAAGAAAAGAAAAAGAAAAACAATGATGACATTTTATTAATTGATTTCATGTCTGTCATTGATAAGAATACATTTATTTATTTATAAATTAGAAGTGTTAAACTTCTGCTAGTTGTAGATAACATTAGTTTATGACACCACTTTCAACAGCAACAGCAAAAAAAGCACTGTATTTGGATATGGCTTAATATAATGATACTTGGAAATTTGCTTGGATAGGCTCCAATCCCAATCCCGACCAGAGAGACGTCTTTAATTTTTGGCTTAAATGGTACGACTCTAATTAATAAAGCTCCTTTTAAGCCCACTTCAGTTATCTTCAGTGGGGAGATCATCACTTTCAGAACTCTGATCAATTTTGCACTGCCAAACTACTGAATGCTGGATCGCCGTGACAAAATTTTGGAGCCGCAATTAATGATAATTTTCATTGCTGACCTTTGGTAAAAGTCCGCCTTCCTTAGCTATTGCTGTTATATTCGTCAAACATTCAGCACTTGTACTAACAGACTAAAAAGTTCAGTGGTACACTGAACATTTAGAAGCATACAAAAGGACTACACTGAAAATGTTCATTCAAAAATGAAAATGTGCAGATGTGCAGACACAGATGTTAGAGAACTGACAAAATCTGACTTATTTCCATTAATCAAACCAGTGAAACTGTTTAGTCATTCAAAATTAAAGGAGTAGGTTTCCATGTCTATTAAGGGGGTGGTCAGTAACAGAAGCTACCCCTTCAGATGAGCTAATGCTAAAGCTAACACCAGAGCTAGTCACATAATATGCGCTGTGGAGGTCACTTCATCTTTCACGTGATGTCTTGAAAGCAAACTTACAATGAATAGCATGTGTACCAAAGCATTAATGTATATCTTTACACACAATGTTTTAATGAAAAATATGAGCAACGTACAGTCCTGTTTAATTTGACTGATTTATCAAGCTTATTGTCAACAGCAAGAATAAGAATAATCTTAACATTGTTCTCTAACATAATTTATGGTTAGACATCATATCAAAATTACTTTCAGCAATTTTTTTGCTTAACTTAGAATTAGTATAAGTATGTCTGTTAATAGCTGTTAATAGTTTTGCTATTAAGCTGCAAGTTTGGTTTTTCAGCTTCAGTGATGAAATAATGCCACCACCCTCCAGGATTTTAGGATGGCATGTATCAGCCATTAATTATTGCTCAGTAACACCTTTACACCATTTCTCTATTTAATAACTGAGAACTTTACTCCCAGCCCCATTCTCACTGCAGGTTTAGGGTAACTAATCAGTCTATTATGATTTTGATTAATTAGGATAAGAAAACATGCTGTTATTAGCTTTACAATAAGCAATATTAAATATTTGAGACTGCAATATTTTTAATGAAAAATACAAGCCCTGCTTCTCATTCAATACCATATCAAAAACTGAAATCTCATTCAGCAGACACATTTATTTAAAAAAAAAAAATTGTAAACATCAAAATTAAAACAACACAACAGCAGCTTGATACAGTAAAGAAAACCTTTAGAAGTCATCTCAATGGCTATAGAAGAAGCAAAACACAGGCAGACAAACACAAACAAGCCTCTCTATACTGTACTGTTCAAAAGTCAGACCACTTGTTTGTTTATCCAATATCCAGTCTAAATGGCCAATAAGTACAGGTTTTTCAAGTTTTAAAAACTTTTCAATTTCAGAAAAAAGCAGGAAATCGGCCACAAAATTGTGGCCTAAACTACATTGAATTTTATCAGCAAATGTCTTTTAATAGAACCATTATCATTAAAAACAAAAAATTCAGGCTCAGATGATCGCAAGAGTGTGTTTGGTGGCTCTGGTGAGGTTGGGAAAAAACAGGGTGCTCAGAAGATCAAACCTGTTTGTTATGGTTTAAACTGTGATGGCAATGAACAAAACAATAATTCTAATTTGTTACACCCTTAGCTGACATACATTGATTGTATCATAGCACTAGCAGCAGGGCATCTACTGGATATATTTTGAACTGCCATTATAAATACACAAAATTTATGGTTAATTATGAGTCATAAATCTTAGGGATGCATCCATACCATTTTTTCAGACCGAGTACGAGTACATAATTTTTATGTACTCGCTGATACTGCAATATAATGATGAGTTGCCTACACAGTATTAAACAGCTGTTAGTGTAAAGTAGTGCAATGTACCTTAACATCTAAATGATTAAAATCTAGGTAATTTTTAAAGGAATTAAATTAACTTGCTACATTACATTAGTGACGTTGGCTCAAGCAGCATTGCACTAAAGTACATTTCATGGTTTTGTTCTCATGCTCATCATCTGTCCCGTTCAAAACCGTCTCTGTAGCACGTGTGATGGCAGAAACCACACCCAGGGTAATGCACCTAAAGAGACTGCTTGTGGAGAGTTTTGTATCTTGTTAAAGTCTGTTTGGCATGATGAGCTGTAGTTGAATGCCCTCCAAAGCCAGACATACCCTGTGCCATTTTAGAAATTTTGTTCTTTGGTGACTCACATTGTATCTTTAAAAAGAGCGTTGT